ATTATGATTTTCAGATAAGATTGCGTTCAATATATCAAACCTCTAATATCTGGTCGCCAACCATAAGGTGCGGTCGAGCGTCCGATTCAGCGATGCCTCCCTTTACCACTTCGGAAATAAAAACTCCGGAACCGCTCTTCTTTCCAACAATACTTAATCCTAAGCCTTTGCCAGACTTTTTATGTAACTCAATGTCTATCATATCACTCGCGTCTTCCTCTTGTGTCTCTGCGTTGTCTCTAAAAACTGTTAATTTGATGACAGGAGGTGTTTGGCGAAGGGCTGCGATCGCGCGTTCACTACATTTAAATAGTTTTGAAACCATTAATAAAATAAAACTAAATTTTTTAAATATAATCCTCAACTGTAACGCGTCTCTCAAGTCTTCATTATTCACGGCTAAGATCTGATCGCCGGGTTTTAATCGGCCGTCGAGTGCGGCCGCGCCGTCGGGATATACCTCATGGATAATAACTGCATTCTGCAGAGAGAATGCAATATAATGTTAACACAAATTACTGAATATAAACTCAATTTAATACACAAACCAGAGGTGTATCGGAACCGCCGACAATACTGAGTCCTAATCCGAGTTTCTCTTTGACGATCTCAATGGTAGTCTCTTTCCCGCCCCTCACTTGACACGTCTTTAGGTCACTGTGTTAAATACACAAACCAGAGGTGTATCGGAACCGCCGACAATACTGAGTCCTAATCCGAGTTTCTCTTTGACGATCTCAATGGTAGTCTCTTTCCCGCCCCTCACTTGACACGTCTTTAGGTCACTGTGTTGTGGATCTGATGACTCTTTTGCATGAGTTAGAAAAGACTGAGTGTTCGCACCATAAGAGTCCAGATTAGAAGAAACTAAATGTGTTTTGTGTACTACAGGTGTGGGAAGTGATGGAATTGTTTTTTGGTTGGCCCGGCTTTCCCTAGGCAATCACCGCCAGCAACAGGCTCTCCACGACACGTAACTAAACACGTGATGAACACCAAACCCTTCACATCCGCCTCCACGTGAGCCTAGACTTTAACTTTAATACAATGCGAGAGGAGTCAAACAAATTGGATTTTCAGATAATTTTGCAAACAATTGGCAGAAGCAAAAACAGGCCATTTTCAACATGATCAATTTCATTTAATACTCTCTATAAGTTATCATTATTAATTTATAAGTTTAGATGAAATACGGGGCTTTGCATATACTTAATATTAGACATTTCCCTCCTAGGTCAAATATATTGCCGAAAAATATTTTTGGGAGGAAAGATATTTTATGCTCCTGAAAACATGACCAGTTGATGTATATAAACACTTTTTACTAACTGAATACATGTATCTCAATATAGGTAACATATTAGATTAAAAGATGTTGTTACATCTAATCAATTTATTAAATTTTAATTTATTTGTGACTAATTTTTTTAAACAGATTTTGTGTTGTGTGCAATGTGCTAAATAGCATGAAAACTAAATCATTATTTAATTGTATATATTATATATCAAATCAATGTAGAATTTAACGCTGAAATCGAAACTAATATCCAAAATCTTTTATCTCGAATATTTTTCAACTTAACCGACTTTGTCCAAGTTTTTTTCTAATTTTTTTACTTAATTTATGATTATACATAAACTCGATGTAGAATTTAATGATTATCACGAATATAACAATTAAAAAATATTTTCCCTTGAGAAAGTTAGTTCCCAGCTTTTGGGCCATTTCTATCTTCCGGGAAATTCCAAATTTTTGGGAGGGAAGATATTGGGAAAATAAGAATTTTGTTCATAACAGTGAGTGCCTAACACATGTATATGACATAAGTTAAATTTAAATTAATGCATTCACATTATAAGACAGCTAAGTAATTTGTTACATTTACACCGGTTTTAGCGTTTGAGTAACTAAATTGTAAGTAATTTATAAAATAAAAATTGCTTTGTATTTTCTTAAGTTATCATCAGATTAATTACCAAGTAAACTCTCTAAGACATACTTAGGTTTATTCCAAACGTTTGTGAACTGCAAAAGGGGTTTACAAGTTTTCATCAGAATTACATTTAATTTTAGAGGGACATTTCATTACTTTTGTTATACATTTTTTTTCTTATTGTTAACAAATTAGAAATGTTTTGTAAAATGACATAAAACCATTAGGTCGTAAATATAAATATATAACCATGTTCAATTTTATAAAAGACTGGTCACTTGTATATAATCAGATATAATATAATTAAATAGAAATATCACGAAAATAATTATTAATAATAAAAAACAGTAAAAGGCAGTGAATGGCTAAATAAATCATTTGCTATAGTGTTAGGAATGTTTGGCTCTCTTAACATACATTCCGTAGTTATTGTGAAGTTTGGGAAACGATATGAAGGAAATACACATTTTTGCCTACAAATGGTTAAATTGCTTCCTTTTTAGGAACATATTGTGAAGACTAATAGAGAATATGTGTCTAAATATTAATTAAAGAATTCAATAGTAGTCTAATTAATGGTTCATTTGAGAGATTCTGTATGAATCCAAATAAGGTTTGCAAACACTTGACGTTTTCCCCAAATGTTCAAAAGTAGTCTTAATGTAAATTAAAATCTCCAACATTTCATTACTTTTGTTATACATTAAATGCCATCATACAAAATTTTTTTTTCTTATTGTTAACAAATTAGAAATGTTTTGTAAAATGACATAAAACCATTAGGTCGTAAATATAAATATATAACCATGTTCAATTTTATAAAAGACTGGTCACTTGTATATAAGATATAATATAATTAAATAGAAATATCACGAAAATAATTATTAATGATAAAAAATAGTAAAAGGCAGTGAATGGCTAAATAAATCACATCATTTGCTATAGTGTTAGGAATGTTTGGCTCTCTTAACATACATTCCGTAGTTATTGTGAAGTTTGGGAAACGATATGAAGGAAATACACATTTTTGCCTACAAATGGTTAAATTGCTTCCTTTTTAGGAACATATTGTGAAGACTAATAGAGAATATGTGTCTAAATATTAATTAAAATTGAGGGAACATTCAATATTCTTCGTCTCACATCAAATGCATTACAAGAAAAAAATAAAAACAATAATTACTAATCAATTCCTTTTTGGTTTCATCAGAGCATAGATTTTCTGTGGAATCGGTTTCGACAAACATATCCTGACCACTGATTTTGGTTGGCTTTGCGACCACAAGTGTTAGTAATCCCTCAGCACTCTTAAGGGCTGACGCGGCCTATAATTGGTTACATAAATCTCATTAATCTTTAATAAAAGATAATTAAAATGCAAATTTACTGACCATTTCATAGTCGGCTCCGATTAGATCAACTAAATTCACACATTGAAGAGAAATACAGCAAATATAAAGGCGTCCGAACTATAACTGTCCGAAAAGTATGTGATTTTTATAAAATGTTTGACAGAAATATATTGAAAATAAATTTAAACAATTTTCAATTCACTCTTAAGGGCTGACGCGGCCTATAATTGGTTATATAAATCTCATTAATCTTTAATAAAAGATAATTCAAATGCAAATTTACTGACCATTTCATAGTCGGCTCCGATTAGATCAACTAAATTCACACATAATATCATATCTCCGACAAGAAGTCCAGCAAATTCTGCGGGACTGCCGTCTTGTATGTCGGAGACAAACACTCCGCGACCCAATTCTGTGTGCTTTCCTTCAATTATCATAATTCCTAAGCCTTGAGTGCCCTAAAGAGTGAATTGAAAATTGTTTAAATTTATTTTCAATATATTTCTGTCAAACATTTTATAAAAATCACATACTTTTCGGACAGTTATAGTTCGGACGCCTTTATATTTGCTGTATTTCTCTTCAATGATGTCATCCTCTAAGTGGACGGGAAACTGTGTGAGAGGCTTAACGGCCATCTCATTCAAGGCACCATCTCTTCTGTACAATACATTCACAGATAAATACTAAAATTCAAAATTCATGTGTTATTTGAGTGGCAAACCTGAGGACAATAATCCTATAAAGGGGTCCAATGAGACTCTTAATAATTGCAGAGGCGTTCAGATGACATCTGCCCTGAACTACAATACCGTTCACCTGTTGTGTTGTTTATGAATATTAAATATGTAAATAAATAGTCGATTTAACAACAAAATCAGTTCAAACCTCAAGAATTTCATCTCCGATTTGTATTCTTCCGTCTTTATAAGCGCTTCCCTTTGGATGCAAACCACAGACAAAGACACTCATTTTGGTTCGGTCTCTATTCCCGGCCAAACTTATTCCCAGACCAGAGAGTCCTTTGCAGAGATCCACTAAAAACGCGTAACCATTCAAATCTCCATATTTTTTCTGCACTTTTTCTGTTGAGAATAAATGACAGAATATTTATTAAAATTTATTAAAATATTTTTTTAGAGAAGATTTGGGTAAAACTTATTGAAAATTAAAATGTTTAGCGAATAGAGTAAGTAATACCGATGGGGTTATCATCGGTGGTAATGAGCGAAGGACTCGATATTAATGCAGACATTAATATAAGTCGAAGAATATATATATTTCGGACGAATTTAGAAGAGTATTAATGAGACACACTTTAAACCACACATAATATAATTGAAAATATTCACAAATAGGATAAAAATATCACAATTACAACCAAAAAAGAGTGGGAATGAAGGCTTGGTTTATGTTTAAGCGATCATTCTGTGTGATAGCACCTGATTATTGTTTACATAATTGATTAACAGTTACATCTCGATTAATCATAAGATATTTAGACCTCGATCTTCAATACATAGATATAAATATTGACTCAAATTTATTCATTTTATTTGAATTGAGAACTCATTCACAGAATTCATTCATCATTGCGTTTATAGTGAGAGTGAGAGAGAAAAGTGAACACAAAGTGAACACAGAATCGGATACTTCTCATCAGAAGGCGGCTAATATTGATCGACGAATCTCTTACTTATAGCCAAAGTCTCCATAAATTCCCTTTTGATGTGCTCTGGGTTTGGGAGCACTAAAGGAATAAGCGTTCACTTAGTCTGATATCGATTTTGTTGAATGAAGTCCTGTTTTTGGAGGGTTTGTACGCTTCGTACGACTGACACACTATTGTCAGACACTAAACATATAATACAATCATATCTCTCTATAGTATAGTTATAGTATAGTTATGCCTCACTATCGATATATTCATAACATTTTATTGATTGACAAGACATCCGAGAAGAACACCTGTCTTATAGTGACAGTCAAACCGTTCCGTCAAATAATAACACATCCAATCAATCATATTTTGTTTTACATATCATTTTTATTGCAAATCATTGTCTAATTTTAAAATCGTTTTACGAGAAGATTATTACTTTAAAATATGTGTTTTAAATATTACTAAACAATAGAAACAATTCTAAAAGCATAACAAATAAATTCAATATTCATTTATTACTTGAAGAGTATCCGAACTCGTCTTCTTTCAAATCGTCTTCATTTGATTCCTGTGTTTCAGTTGAACTCAATCTTATGTTTCCAGCACTCGATCTATCGATCTGTCAAACAGTCCATTGATTTCACAATTGATATAAACATTTTTCCAATACCTGAACCCCTTTCGATGTCCTTATCTTTCCGGTCAGATCTCTGCCATTGATATCAAACTCAGATTCAGTCACTTCTTTATCTTCTTCTGTCACATCCTTTAAAAATATTTCTTTAAACAAAACTCCAAAATATAATCAAAACTTTATTTTACATTTAAATCGACTAAAATGTTTGAATCCTTGTCGTCATCGGCGGTGTGAGACTCGAGAGGAGCGCTTAATTGAGGAGAACTACAGCACTCATCGCTAGCTATAGAACCGATCTCTTCAGCCACTGATTCGACGGCCGCTAATGTGGCGCTCGAAGCCATTGAGGTCTCGGTTTTATTCATTAGATTAGATGTGGAAGCGCTGTCTTTGCTCTATATTAACAAAATGTAATCAAAATATACGTTTCGTTTCATTAATTGAATATACATTTGATGTAATGCTTACGAAAGGCAATAGACTTTGAACCATAAAAATGACTGGATTTTTAGCATTTTTGATGGCTTCGACTGCTCTGTCGTGAGTCGCCTCTTGAAGATCGACGCCATCGACACTGAGAACGCGATCTCCACTCTTGAGAGTGCCCTCACGTCCGGCCGGACTGTCGGCCAAAATGTTTTTGATGAAAATACCGGAAATGGCATTTCCAAGAGAAGTGTTGAAGAGTTCAACTTTTCCGCCAACAATACTAATGCCTAATCCCTTGTTGTGTTCGCGGATCAATTGGACGACTCTTTCTTCACCCCATTGTCGCGTTACAGTTGAGGTAATGCTAGCGTTGTTTGTCGTGTCACTACTTGTGGAACCAGTTTCTGGAGAAACCGATTGTTTGTCACTTTCACTACATATTTGGTCCATTGGATGCTTTGGGCTGTTTTCAGGCACTTTTGACTTTCTCGGAGAAACTGTTTTCATATATCATAGCAATCAATATATAAGATATTTTTATTAATCGCTTTATATAAAAGTGTTCAACAGAATTATGATTAAATTGCTAATAAATTATCAAATATTCAATTACTAGTGATTCAACAAAATATAAATAAGACATTGCTTTCAATTCGTAAGTATAAGTAATAATTAAATAATTTTAAAGAATATTATGTTTGAGTAAATTGTCATAAATAGTTCAGTCATTGAGACAAACCTTTTGGTGACTCCTTATGTGATGATTGAGATAAAGATTCAATTCGTATCAATTCTTGAGATGATTGTTGCGATTGACTATGAGTTGACCCCAACTCTTGTGTCTTCACAGCAAACTCACTGGAAGTGGAGTTTGAAGCGATCTCTTGTGCATCGAGTATACTATTTGAAGACTTTATTAATGGCTTAAATGTTGTAATGGATGCGATCGGCGGTCGAGTGTATAAATTGTCTAAGAAGTCGGGCGTCGGTTGCGTTTGCGGTGGCGTTGAGGCCACGGATGACACCGCAGACCGATCGCCAAAAGAGGTGATCTCTATATCGCTGTCGCTATCACTTAGCGTTAATTTGGGTCCGAAATATGGAGATCTGAAACATTTATTAAATTTTATTCAAATGTACTTTCAGTGCATGTATTGTCTCAACGATGTAATCGGAGTCATACCATACCGATAGTAATTGGGAAAAATCCTTTGTAAGCATTTGATAGAAAAAGTTTTTGTTCGTAAAAATATTTTAAAAGGAATGCCATATAATATATTATTATATAAAAATTTTCCGATAAAATCAAATAAAATTTGAAAAATAATGCAAAACTCAACATGAAATTCGTGTAATCAAAAGATTGGACCAAAAGATATAAACATAATATATATATATTCGTGGAAATCGATACCAGAATGCGAACAATAATTCACTCAAACAATCATAAATAGTATGATATAAACAGATATTTACTACTTTTGGGAATTATAGTGTGATATTAATATGGATTCTCATCTAAAATACATATAAATGCGTGAAATTTTGATTATTTTAAAAATTCTTGTACTACAAGTATAAACAATATACTGTATTAAACAATACAATAATGTAATTTTGTATGAGAAATAATGAACAACAAAATGTTGGTTAACATGAAGAGTAAACACTCAAATACAACTCAAATAACAGAGAATTTTGTGTTTTAATAAATATATTTCTGTTATTTATCTCAATTCTGTAATAAAAATGTATTATATTTCAAACATAATGTTATGTAATCAAACAAATCAGTTCATAATACATATGATGTATGATTTTGTGAGCAAAAACAGACCACAATTATTGATTAATATTGCGAGACAATCAATATTTATCAAAAATAAAGTATTGCTTTCGTTTGTAAACCAAAAATTGCATTTATATTGCATTAATAAAGGCGTGAATTCAGGCACTAATTAGTTATTTAGCGAAACATCTCTCATGTAATACATGTATAGACACAACTATATACAGAATAAACGCCTCAAAATGATAAGTTGCGTTAACGTGAACTCTGAACTTTTAGCTCATATTTAATAACGAGATGTGAATACAGTTTAAACCATAATAACAAATATTACAACAAATTGATCCCATATGAAGAGCTCAAGCCGTGAATATTTATGAGAATATTCTCTTAAATATTGAGTAATGCAGTCATATTAACACTTAACCAACAACAAGGACTACTTGCAAATACTAATATAGCCACAAGTTATAGAATGTAATAACATGCAATTTTTATTATTCGTTTTCTAAAGAATATCATCATGTTCACTATTAATAATAGAATATTATTGAATGGATAACAAAATCGGCCATACTTGTAACCTTGCTAAAATTAATTGTTAACAATATTATTAATAAATCATGATATAGAATTAAAACTATTATTATCAGACACCAAAACACTATAACTATTTTGTCTGTATCCAATTTTGTTATCCATTCAATATATGATATAAGAGATATATATATGATAGAAGCATTAGTCCAAGAATGTCTAGGTATAAGAATTTGCAATACAATTTCAAAACTTAAACTCACTGCTAACGTTACAAAGTTTATACTCACATTTGCCCAATAATTATAAATAAATAACCAAAAGTAAACCTAACCCATTATATTAGTGTACACTTTATATGAATTACACGGCAATGTTCTAATGCTATATGTGTGCAAACTAGGCATTGTATTGTAGTATTAGCCCATAAGATTAGAATTAACTATAAGATTAACATCAATTCATATTAAATTAATGCCAAACTCAATATATAACTCTATTATCATTTGGCAATAAAGATATGGGAATATGGGGTATAGTATGGGTATAGTATGGGGTGGAGTATTGAGTACTCAATCCTATTAACAATCCTAAAATACATTCGTAATTGTGTTTTAATAATATAATTCAGAGCAAAATGTATGCACAAAAACACATATAATTACAAAAATTGAATAATAAATAGAATGGTATTTAAGAATATATTTTACTTAAAATTTAGTTTTTGAATCATAAATATATTCAAATACTGTATATATTTTGAGCCCATAATAAAGTTATATAACAGTAATTATTTTTAATGCAATTCCGGAAGATTAGAGAATATTTTAAAAAACTAATAAATTTTATATCATTTCGTGTCCACAGAAATGTATATTTTTTATTCTTTATAAATATAAATCATTTTTTGAATTAAATAAATATTCAAAATCTCGAATAATAGGCCAAAAGAAGAGTGAGAGTGAGTTTCTTATAACTTTTATCTCATATATAATAATGTAATGCTTTTTGTCATTTAAAATATTGGAAGAAAAGTGAGCCATAAATGAGTTTCCGAATGAGAAAATTCAAAATTCATTTAATAATAAATGATATGTAAGTCACACATAACTGTAACCCATATATACAGTTATGCCTCAAAATATTTGCATTTTTGAAATTTTACATCAACCGTGAATTCAAGAGAGAGAATACGAGAGAATATTCAATAAATATTAAATCACCAAAAAGTGTATAAATATTTATATAATAAAATATATTGAAATTTAAGTCAATTAGAAATAATTTTAAAAAAGAAAAATTTATTAAACAATATATTGTATTGTATTTCTTGAATATAGAGTTTATTTAGTAAAATAATAAAATAAAACAATAATAAGATATAAAGTATATAAATAAATGGGCGGAAAATTAGTTACGGGCTAACAATCAGTGAATAAAGGGACAGACCTGGGACTGGGGGACCGGCGGAGTAGTGGCCCCACTGAGGGGGAAGTCCTGTCGAGCGGAGGTGTGGGAGTGTTGGGTGTGTTGTGTTGCATAGATAGTAGTGACGATTGTTTGTGAACCTCGGCATCGCTCGCAGGAATATATTTGAAACTAAACAATGCATACAAATTGAATGTGAATTGAGTTGAAAAAACAATTGCAATGAATTATAATTACATTATTTCATTGCCAATGAGTTGCGCTCTTCTCAGGATAGCTCTCGCCTTAGAATTAGTTATATTTCTGAGGCTTTCATTATTAATGGACAGCAAATGATCGCCTCTTGAGATGCGGCCGTCGCGAAAGATGGCACCCGTTTTGGAAGTATTCTTAACAATCATACCATTAATACCTCTGTCGGCCAACTCGAGGGTCAGACCTAACGATAGTTAAATTGATTGGTAATTGAGTGGTAATTAAAGCGATAAACACTAGAGTATTATACAGAATAATGAAGTGTCCATTACCTAGAGGTTCGGTTCCTTTTCTAATTTTTATAGTCCTCTCGAGAGCAACGGGTAATGGAATGGCCATTAAGTTATGGTACGAAGGACTGGGAGATCGCGAGGAACTGTAGTCAAGAGGGGTTGAACTGCGAGACTCACTAAACACTAGATTACTGGCACTGGAGGTGGGAGACGACGATATGACAACATTGTTGTTGCGTTCAATGGCAACGTTAAACATGAGGTGCTCGGCTAAGGACACGGCACTCGACGAGATCTGCGAATCGACTGAATTCACCGAATTTATTGACTCTTGACGTGAGACTTGATTTTTCGAGAACTACATCATTGATAAACAGTGTTTTGAGCCAAACAAACGAGTAGTCGTTAAAATGCAATGCAAACAAACCTGTGCTTCATCTTCGGGTCTCAACGGTTGGCTCACAAGTGGCGGAAGCGATGGAAGTGATGGAAGTGATTGTTCGCTTAATTCAAATGACTTATTGTCTAAAATATCAATTGTCTGCTCCTGTATTGCCTGATCTGTCACTTCAACTGTACTCTTCAAATCCTCGAATGAAAATCGCTGTAAAATTTTGAATCGATTATGGATTTGATTCAATACTTTAATCAATAATAATAATTCAATACTAAATGCAATCAAAAATCTATTTATTGATGATTTAAAAGCAAAGGCAAGCCATAGACAAGAATAAGAGTTAAAACCTAATCGAGAGTCAATTCTAACAAGACTTCAGTTATGATACACAACAGCCGTGACTATCAGATCAACAAATCTATGAGATTCTTGGTTTACATTCTTATGTTGTTTTAATTAATTTTCTTTTAACAATAAATTTAATAGATTGTCGTTTAATGTTAATTAAGTTATTGTTTGTTATTGTTTTACATTATTTTGTAAATTATTTTTTCATAATTGTTTTTTAATAATAATTTTTCCACAAAATGAAATGAAAATGTTTATTACATTTACAATTAAATATTGCTTTTTTGATCGATATTTGTTCTAAGATTTGTTACAAATTTTGTATTTAATTTATAATTTCTGATTAACTAAAAGATGAATAGTTTTGTGATAACATGTAAATTAATGAATGGGAATGTATTTTGCATAATATAAATGCATTGGTCAACAAAAAATTTTGATGATTTTAATACTAATAATTATAATACAATAATATAGTGAATGTACTGCATATGTACTGTAGGTATATGTGGTATACCTGTGCCGACACACTAACAAAAATAGAGTAGAATTGAGTTTCAGAAGCTCTCGGACTTATATAAAGAAGAGAGAAGAGTCGAAGAAGTGGACGCCTGTATTGCTTGCAAACCGGAAGTTAAGCCCCGATCCCTATACAATGCACTTGCCTGAGCCGAGTGACTAAAGTCACTGACCTGACTATTGGTTGGCGATTGTATGCAGTGAATGGCACCTGTGCTCTCTGGCAGTGGCAGAGGCTTTGCCACACCAATCACTACTTTCCCTTTACTCGCAGTCTTCAGTGTTCTGACCGCAACATCCAAGTCGTTGGTCACCGTGTCGTTCACGAACAACAGTCTGTCCCCCGGTATCAGTCGGCCGTCCTGTTGGGCGATACCTCCCGGAACCAGAGATCTGGTGTCAAACGAATCGCATTTAATTTTCATTTTCTCAACGCATATATTTATAACACATTTAGTTCAACCTATCGACTCATACCTAATCACAATCACAGTCTCAGTCGGATTCATCGGATCCTATAATTCAAAACATTTCAATCAATCATTTATTGAATCCAAACATTTGTAGCGCTCACTCACCTGATAGTCCAAAATACTAAATCCCAAGCCTTTGTCACCTGAAAAGACAAAAAAGCATGTCATAAGTCAAATGATGTGATAAACAGTGAATACAAACCTTTAATTAATTCAATCAATTCCACTTCGGATGACCACATGGCCAGTCCGGTCAACGGCTCTAATGAGCGGGACTTCATTTTCGTTAAGTCCGAGGCTATGGAAACGGTGGGCGCAGTCATCGCAAGAGAGCCGTCAGATTTTGCTTTGACTAGTCGTTCAATGGAGGGTACAATCGAAATGAGGCTATTGTTCACCGAATGAAAATCTAAATCCGTTCGCGACGTTGAGCTCTGATTATCATCAGTGATGGCATCGAAGTTGACTAAAATATCACGATTTAAAGGTCGGGCGCAAACCATTTGCACTTCCATTGACAGGTCTTTAAGTAGAGGCACCACATCTGAATGACTCATTCCGTGAAGTGTTGTTCCGTTCACCTAATCGTTTAAATAAGAAACACAAAAATATTAATTTCAATTTTACACAAAACAAAGGCTGTGTTGTCATTACCTCCAAGAGCTCGTCACCACTTCTTAGGATACCATTGACACCGACGGGACCGTCGGGTAAAATGGATCGAATATAATGATGGGGTCGAACTTCGTTGCCGTTCTCCACGTCTACCGTTCCCTCTAAAGAGATGCCGAGACCCGGACCTTCTCTCACGATATTTGCAATCTATATAGAGATTCAACCAATGGATTACAAGTGTTGCACATATTATAAGCTTTTTGTAAGACACCAGACGTACCACAATCTCAAAGCTGGAGCCAATGATATTTTGCCACTTTTCTATAAGCTCTGCATTATATTTGGATCCACTTCTACTATCGCTATTATTACTACTGGCACTCAGATGACTAAAATATCACGATTTAAAGGTCGGGCGCAAACCATTTGCACTTCCATTGACAGGTCTTTAAGTAGAGGCACCACATCTGAATGACTCATTCCGTGAAGTGTTGTTCCGTTCACCTAATCGTTCAAAAAGAAACACAAAAATATTAATTTCAATTTTACACAAAACAAAGGCTGTATTGTCATTACCTCCAAGAGCTCGTCACCACTTCTTAGGATACCATTGACACCGACGGGACCGTCGGGTAAAATGGATCGAATATAATGATGCGGTCGAACTTCGTTGCCGTTCTCCACGTCGACCGTTCCCTCTAAAGAGATGCCGAGACCCGGACCTTCTCTCACGATATTTGCAATCTATATAGAGATTAAATCAATGGATTACAAGTGTTGCACATATAATAAGCTTTTGTAAGACACCAGACGTACCACAATCTCAAAGCTGGAGCCAATGATATTTTGCCACTTTTCTATAAGCTCTGCATTATATTTGGATCCACTTCTACTATCGCTATTATTACTACTGGCACTCAGGGTTTGGCTGTTTTGGCTGACATCAGTCGACTGATCGTATATCTGTATTACTGTAGCGCCCGGTGGTGTGTAATAGGGGGCCGGGAGGTCGGGGCTGGCAATCGCCTGTTGCAACTGTTCGTATTTAGAGCCTCTCAGATATCGGGCTAAACGCAATTTCACTATTTTCCCGGTATTTCGTAGCACTTCCACGGCTTGATGGTTGGTATAGCCGTAGAGTGACCGACCGTCCACCTGTCCATACGATTAATATTCACACAATTAATTAAACGCAAACATGTTTAGCACGAAGACAAACCTCAATGATTTGGTCGTTAATACAGATTTGGTTGGAGAGGTCGGCAACACTACCCGGTGCTATGCTTTTGATAAAAATGCCAGATATTTCCTCTGAATAAATAAACAAAACATTATTGTAATAAACGACATAAAAGAGCACTTTTATGGTTTGGAATTGCATTGTAAGCAAAACTTTGCATTCATTTCCATAAAACAGGATTTCAAATAAAAGAGTTTTCTCTGTGTTTACGGTTTCAATTGAATTATAAATAAATTCTATACTAATTTAAATAATAAATTAATTTAAAAACAAAACAATTCACATAAATGATTGTGTGGTTTGGTATAGAAAGACATACCCTTTTCGCATACATAGCCGGCAATAGTGATACCCAATCCCTGTTGATCTTTGATGAGCTCCACTTCGAAAGTCTCCATTTCTGGCAATTCTTCGACAACAGTGTTGGCAACGATTGGGTTCTCACTATTGATTTCGACCTCAACTTTTCGATTCACATTCGACACCACAGATGTATTGCCAGCACTTACTGTCACTTCTGATGTCTGAAGCTCTAATGGAGGGCTCTGTCCGACAGATAATTACATCCATTTTATTATAATTATATAATATAGTTAATCAATCAAAGTAGCTATTATACACACTAGTATTCACTAAACTCAATACATATATGATAATGAATGCAAGTATTATAGTATAGTAAACTTTTTTACTTAAATTTAATTACTTAATTAGAAATCACTAAAACTTTTGCATAAGAAATGGAAAATACGTTAATTAGTGTCAATTATAGTGAAAGTAGTGTCAATGCTTTAAATGTTAATTTGCCAAAATGTTAGAGCAATACCTTAAATACAAGTGAAAAGACGCTAATTCTTTACTTAATCTATTGACTAATGTGACAATTTTCGGATTATCATGTTTTTTATAACAAAATTAAATATTGACACAAAAACTAGAAATGACACCAATTTGACAACTCATCTAATAAAGTGATTCTATGAGTGGTTTGGCTGTGAAAGCAATTTAAAACTAAAGCACTTGTCGTAAAGAATATACAGAATATATACATTTCAATAAATAAAACATATATTCACATACAAAAAAATACAAGCGAATAATACGAACCGATAATAAACTAAATATATGTTCAAAATATATATTTATATATTTGTTTATATAATATAAACCATTTAAAAAGATGTTTTCGATAATACTTTGATTTAATTATCATAATTTCATTAAATAATAGGATTTCAAACTAAATAATATTCTTCTGACATTCATCTCGAAAAACATGTTTCTCTTCAACAAAAACATTTGACATTTAATTCAACAGTTATGTCATTAAAAGCTCGACGACAATAGATTAGCGTTTAATAAGACAATGATTTGTACACAAAGTAAAAGTTGTAATTAATTAAATACTTTAAGTAACGAAAACAGGTATTTATATAATAAATGGAGACTCGCTTTGAAAGATAATTTGTAAATGTCTAACAAATGTGTTGAAGAAGTGTTTGGAAACAAACCAAACAATTGAATGCTTGGCAGAAGAGTTGTATAAAACACACGCAAACGCAACTCTGATGGACACCAATACTAGTCATACTATTCATACCACTCTATGGAAGGGCTTCCAGTGCTTCACATATCAAACATATTATTGACTTATTAGCTAAAGGTATTCCAGACTCACATTTACAACAATGCCATTCAATTAATTAATTAAAAACAAAAAACATTAAACACTACTTTCTAAATATATATTAATGAGCACTACATTATTATTATGTTATATAAATTTTAATATATATTCTGGTCTAATGTTTTCGTAATTAAATATGTGTTTAGCTTTAAATATAGATAAATGTAAAAGAATTTGTGTTTATATAAAATTCTATAATTAGAGTTCACTTCGAGATCTAATAAATTATTTTATCATCAGATAAACATCAAATCACTTAAAAATATTTTGAAACAATTTTAAACTAAACATTTGAAACAATTTTGTATACAATTCATATGAGATTAGGTTTGAGTGCAAGGGATAAAGAATTTGAAACATATTAGATATATAACAGCATTAGGGCTGAACTTTTCTACAGTATTATCGAGAATACAGTTCTATAGCATAAGACTTATGCCATAAGTCTTTTAGTTTAGGTTACAATTATTGAATTGTACTTTCGTTTGCTTCTGTTTTTTAACTCTGTTTAGACATTAAAGTCTAAAAATAATAAATCAATCACTTTGTAAACAACAGAATTAAAGCAAACAATTTTCAACAAAAAATTCAAATGAATTCAAATGTCAAGTCATAACAGAATCTAAACAAATAGTTATTGTTTTGAAAGATCGAAAGTTATAATGAAAAATGTTTATTTGCTTTTGTTTGAAACCCATTTTTGTATTATTCTATGAGACAATTGTTTGCATCAAAATCATTGTTGTTATAAAATCTATTCTTTTCAATTCATCAAAAATTTACATAAATAATCAAAATATTCAACAATTAATTGTGTGACAATCAAAACCGAAACTATACTTAAATACATGCAAAGTCAACACCAATTAAGACTTAATAATAAGTAATTATATTGAGTCAATCGATAAATCTTAGTCTTCGTGTAGATGCTCAGGGCCAATCATCAGATCTTTATAAAACTTGATTTATGGTGCCTATGAATGTTACCTTCAATAATAACATTAATTTCACATTTCTATCTCCACTGGATGTGCCCAAAGACTAACACTTATCGATTGAACAAATATATAAAAAGTGAAACATTTGTGACTTACGTGAAGATCTATTCGAGCGATTTGTTGCGTTTCTATTGGAATGGAAGTAATGGAACCGATGGAAGCGACGGGTAAATTGGATTCGTGACCGTTTGTAAAGGGTGTAGTCGTTGTAGTGGTTGTGGTCAGTGGTATATCTTTGGGCAGTTCTTGCAATTGTTGCTAATAATCAATTAGAGATATAATTAATATATTATTCAAATTCAGATTCTATGGTGTGTTTTGTTGAATACCTGTTGAAATAAAGCCAAATGTTTTTCAACGTCTTCCGGATCGGCGAGACTTCTGGTCGGAACGATTGGAGCACTGCTTTGAATCACTTGCAAATCGGAGGTCGGGTCGACCGGACGCGCGACAATCAGCCGCACGTGAGCCCCGGTTTGTCGGAGCACTTGTGCCACTTGGTCTGAACCCATTCCTCTCATGTTTATGTCATTGATTTGCAAAATATGATCTCCGCTTTGCAACCGATTGTCCTAAACATTGCGTCAAACAAATGGTTAAATGAGGACAACAAAGCAATGCAACAACAATTGTGTGGACACATACTCTGTCAGCAACACCTCCCGGAACCAGAGTTTTGATGATAACACCAGTACTGCGGCCCCCAATGATTCCAAAGCCCAGACCCGAGCCGTCATTGTCGAGCTCTATGGCCTCGATTTGTGCCCATTCAGTGTTGAGCACCATATCGTTTGAATCTTTAGAGCTATCGCTAACTCCTGAGGGCGACCTCTCTATTAACACATCCGATGGATTGGCATTCAAATCAAGTGAATCGCATTGCTTTGATGTCTGTCCCCTCGCGATCACCAGTTCCACGATTCCATGTGCGCGCTGTAGTATATTTATGGCCTCTTCGTGTGATATATCACTGGAAAATGGCTGTCCATCGATGGCTAATATCTGAAGAGGACAAACATCCGGGGGTAGGGATAGCGGTCATGTTCGTTATGTTCGTTAAGTTAGTTAAATACGTTGTAAAAAGTTTTTCGTTAAAGACAGGGTTTATATAACGTTATAATTTATTTTGGGCTCTAACAAACTATTTAATCATGACCATGTTGACAAATTCAACATTTTGAATTAGTTATTCAAAATTTGTATCAGGGGTCCAGCTTTACCGCCTGTAATAGATTTGAACTTTTTCTGACATAAATTTTAATTTACTTTTTTCAGTAAAAGTAATAAAATGTGTATAAAAATATGTGTAAATAAATTATATGGCATTTTCTTATCAATTGGTTTGCATTGCGTCTCATAAAAAATTGTGTAAATTTAAAGCAAAATTTCTGAAACAATGGCTATATTTTCAAGCGATAAATAGTGTGTCTATTAATATGATAGGGGAATAAAAACACTCCATTTCAGTCGGCTACCGACATTAAGTGCTAAATTGGGCAATTACATTTTTATTGAATTCTCATACAATAATTATATATTTAAATAATATAAAAATCTTTTCGAAATAATTTATTATATTTTTTAATTTAAATATATAAAATCCATTTACTAATAGGTGTGATATAATTTGTATTCACACTATAAAAAGTTAAAATTTTTAAGATTTGTTGGAAAAGTCTATCTGAAATTATTTTTGCAAAAATTTGCAAAAATACAAGTTTTTTAAAATTATGCCCAAATCGGGGAAATAAAATCGATATATTTTGGACATGAGAGCCCTAAACTCAAGAGCTTTAATCTTAATGATATATAATTCCTTAAGTTTCTCCTCAAATAATTGGGTGATTCTCCAAGAATAGACCTCAAGGGTTAAATCGGGTTATGAATAGCGCAATTTGCAAATAGTCATATTAATAATCTTATTGCTATTTTTATGGAACAAATATTATTCTAACTTATGTCTAGTATTAATATTTTATTATATCGTGTTATAACTGTTTGGGTATTCAGTTATAATTTATAGTTGAACGCAACTATAGCTAACGCTTTCCGGTAATATAACCCCTTAAATAAAATACCTATAAATATAGAATTCACATTTTCTAAACTCTAAATTGCAATAAAATTTACAATCAAAAACTATTTTCTTATTTATTTTTTATTTAAACTTTTTTAAAAACGGAAAATTTAATTAAAATTCCTATAACTAAGAGCTAAAAACATTTATTTATAAACTATAATAAGAATAACTTAAATTTATAACTGAAAGAATTCAAAATTTAATTAAAAATATTCCTCAAATCTAAACTAAAAATAGTTTGTTTTAAAAGTAAACTTCATGTTTATTTCATATGAAATAAAATTACTATCATTTCTTAGTGTTTTATATGTAAATGAGATGTCATTTAAATTTAAATATATATTAAACGTTAAAATGCATTAAAACAACAAATAGTAATTTATAAACAAATATCGGATTAAATATCGTTTTATAAGCACTGTATATGTCGTCTGCAATAGAGTTTAACAACAAATTCTTAATCCTAATGACTGTAATGTAAAGATTTATAAGTTTATCATTAAATAAAACCCAATTTGAAAATAACAAGTATATGCAAACGAAGCGATTATTCAAGTGTTTGTATGTGAAGTGATTTGAGACACTTTTGCATACATTCAATGTATTATTGTATTCAGAAGAGCATTGCAGTCAATGAATATTCATAGCATCAAGTT